CCCTTTGCAGGCTTGCTAATTTCATTATGCAAGCAGAAACAAAAATCTTACCGCGGAACTCAATTTTTATTTTATTTTAAGAGCCTTTTGTCCTGAAAGCTCCTTTTTCCAGTGATGATCCTTCCTGCCCTAGCACAAGCTTGTAAAGTTGCATTTCTCAGAATGGCCACCTCCTTACTTGCACCGGGTGTTATGCAGCTGTCTCCTGTTCAGCCTGGCTGTTATTGACACCCTCTCCCTCTAGTCCTCAGAACGACAGTGGTTATGATATGACACCAGGATTGCTGTCAGTGGGCGTTGTTTGTGGCGCAGTTCTGCACTCCACACCTTGTCCAGTCACACCCACTATTATTATCCACTATTATTATTATTATTATGATTAAAAATGTTCCTTGTTAAACATTTTTGTTGCAGCAGGCAAAATGGCTGATTCCAAGTTTTCCTGAGTACCTTCATAGTGATCTGTCCTCATCAAAAGATTGTGGTTTTCTCATTAACTTCATTAACGTACAATGCAGAAGCCAGACTTTTAATCCTTTGTTAGGACAGGAAGTGTTCAAATCTGCTTTACAAATAAAAATGACATTAGCTAGCACAGTACAGAGTTAAAGACGAGCTCCAGGATTTTCTAAAGTGGGGCTACCCCCGCACTGCAAGTGTTAACTGCTCACTTTAGTCTAGGGGCACAAATTATGAATATATATTTACCTGATACTTTATCCCATCTGGCTGCTTGACGGGTCCCCACAATCTCTTCTCCCCTGGGCTCCAGTGGTCTAAAGCCCGCTGACATCACCATGTCTATGCAATGTCCATTCATTTGCATTAGACGTGAGGATGCTGAGTAACATACCACAGCTGAAACAGAAGGGGTAGTGAGGTGAATGGTCACTGCTGCAGGATCGAGGAACAGGTGAGTGTATCTTCTTCCGTTCCCCAGACCAAAATGAGCAGTTAACCCTTGCTGTGCACGTATAACCCTTAGGACACCAAGTAGAAACCTTAACCCAAGTAAAATCAACTTAAACTGCAAAAAGCATTTTTAAATATTTTTTTTAGCTTATGTGATGTGAATGAGAAACATTTTGGCTGCGAAAGTTGAATTACGCTTAAGCATTTTGCATTTTTTTTTGTTCTATAATATATATGTCTGTTTTTTTTATTATGTATTGTGGCATTGTGAGGCAATACCACGGTGTTAGGTGGCCTCAAAGTCACCCAGGGTTCTCAGCCAGAGGGGCTGAGTGGCTCCAGGAAGACAGTACGTGTACCAGGAGAGAACTGCCTTTTCAGTTCTTTCCAGGTTTTCTGGATCATAGTTGGGATCCTGGAGCCAGGAGATTTCTTAGAGCTCTGGGTGGGAGGAAATCTCCATTCCTGGGTCCATGCTTTGGTGGTGACCAGCACCTGATTGTGCACCTGTGTACATCCCTCATGAAGAGTGTGCTGGGATGTGTTCAGGCCCCCACCTGTGAGTCAGGAGAGCTCCACCCTGGAGTCAGTGGAGGCCAGTGCAGCAGGGAGCTGCGGGGTTTGCGAACCATATTGAGAGGATTGGCATGTTATTGCCATTGTCTGGAGGAACCAGACGGTGGCCCTAAAGATTGAGGACGGAGCAGCAGTGCTGCAAGAGAGACAGATGTCGGTGAGCCCTTATCTGTTGTATGCTACAGCGAGCTATTTATGTTGGATTTCATGTTATCTACCGTTTTGAAAGCAAATAAACTGCATCTGACTTGCACCTCCGGTCTACAGTGGAGTGTCCTTGTTACAGTATGTTTGTATTACAGTACCCTTCCCCGTAGCTCTATCACCAGATTTTATGTATTTGCTTGACTCGGCCTTGGGCGTGCTGGCTTTTTGGTGGTCTGGATATTTTAACTTGCATAAAAATCATCCATAAGATGTAGCAGTTTATTAGTTATTGAGCTTAATTATTTTAGCAAAAGGGCAAATGCTACTGAGACAATGCCTTGGCTATCTCTTTTTTTCAGGTGTTGGTGCATCTCCTTTTGTGTTAGGATAGTAAAATGACTTGGGAAGCATTAGTCATCTCTCTGGCTACTAAATAAAAAAACAAAACAAAAGCACAGTGAAGTGATAAATACTTGAAGGCCACGGTTGAGGCTGCCTTTTTTTCTCATGCCATGGCTTTGTTTGGATCCTGTTCGGTCACAAAGGAAAGTCAGAACTAAGCTGCATAATTGATATGACTTAATGAATCAAAGTGTTAAACCCAGAGGATCAGCATAACACATAGGCAACTGACATTTACAGAAGGATGTCAGCAATGGCAGTCCAGATTTTCTTCTAATAAAAGATTTCCTGTTAGGAGGGGAAGCCAGGTTTGTTTCCTTGGTATAACTTATGAAAGTCCTAGTCATGAAAATAGCTTTGTATCAAATGCAGGTCAAATGGAGGATCAACTTCCTACCTTTTTATTATGGAAAAAGTTCTTATTTTACATTCCATGGTAAAATGAAACCATAATAAGGACACCGGTGGTGCTTTGTTAAAGGCACAGCTTTTAAAAATGAAACTGGGCTGGAATCAATGTGGTGAGAGGTACGTGTCGTAAAGACAAGTGGCTATTATAGAGAATCTGTAATGAAATATTGCTAAAAATGTGCTGCTAATATTGTAAGCACTGCAGTCGTAGTTATAGTCAACTCCGTTTTTCTCTATATCCTTTTCTGTATACCTAAATTCGAAGCTGAAGCTATCACACTAAAAACAAACAAACAATGAATAATTGTTGATGCCCAGCACTAACATTCAACCTATTAGTGCCACAGGCAGGCTGGTAAGCATATTTATTGCAACTCAAAGAAATATCTGCCAAAAACGGTAACACCATAAAATCATGATATTGGCCTGCATTTTCAGAGTCCTTATGTCTGTTGAGGCCCACATTGACCTTTGAAAGGTGTTTACACCCATACTGGAGGGTTAAATCGCCTAATAGTTTCAAGGACTTAGGTGGTGAAATTTCTGGCCTTGACTTTCAAGTCTGCTTTTCCAAATTGATCTTTAAAATGGCATCTATTCTTTTTTTATTAAATTCATTTTATGAAATCTAACATACAACAGTGTAGACATGTGCGTCCGCAACAAATTGGTTTTGGATTTTTCATTATTTCGTTTTTCGGGACTCAGGTCTGAAAGTCCATTTTGTTTCGGAATTCTGAAAAAATCCGAATTTTTGTTAATTTCGTTAGTGGTAGTATGTACAAACTAATTTTCTTTTTTTCAAAAAGTTGATGCCTAACGCAATAAAACTTCATTCAGGAAGGAAATTTGGATTCGTACGAATTCGCTATTTCTATCATTCGGAAATTCGGATGCATCCGAATGTAGGAATTTCCAAAAATTTATCCTTCCTTAAGTCCATAGGACAAATACTGAGGGCAGTCCTGATAATAGGTTTCACATAAAAAACAAGGTAAATCAGCAGGTAACACTCCCATGACATAGGTGCTTCCACTCTCCGATAATTTTATATGTAAATGAAGCTAGTAGCAGATCAGTCACTGTCCTGATCTCCAAGTTCTTACTCCATATCAGGCATTTACCAAATGGTATTTAAGCCCTGGCTTACACATTTCGTCTCCTGGACTTCATAAGAAGCCTGATGAAGTCCATGTGACAAAACGCGTCATTGGGGGCTTGGAGACACATTGGTACCTGCTCGAAATTGAGTAGGACATTGAAGGTCAGAATTGTGGCTGCAATCTGATACTAGTTTACTGGGGCTCTGTATACATATGCGAATAACCATATATAAGAATATGGCACCACAACAATCCTGCCAAGAGAGGACCATTCACCAAAACTCACGGACAAGGCAAGGAGGGCATTAATCAGAGAGGCAAAGATAACCCTGATGGAGCTGCAAAGCTCCACAGCAGAGATTGGAGTATCTGTTCATAAGACCACTTTAAGCCGTACACTCCACAGAGCTGGCTTTTATGGAAGAGTGACTGGAAAAAAGCCAGTGCTTACAGTAAAAAAAAAAAGCAAACACGTTTGTTCACCAAAAGGTATGTGGAAGACTCCCCAAACATATGGTAGAAGGTACTCTAGTCAGATGAGATTAAAGTTGAGCTTTTTTGGTCTTCAAGGAAAACCCTATGTCTGACCAGAACCCAAGACCCCATCCCCACAAAGAAGCATGGTGGTGGCAGCATCATGTGGAGGGGATGTTTTTCATTGGCAAGGACTGGTGAACTGTTAAGAATTGAAGAAATGATGGATGGTGCTAGATACAGGGAAATTCTTGAGGGAAACCTGTTTACCTGTTATCAGTCTGCCAGAGATTTGACACTGGGACAGAGGTTCATCTTCCAGCAGGACAATGACCCTAAGCAGACTGCTAAATCAACACTCGACTGGTTTAAGTGGAAACATTTAAATGTCTTTCAATTGAGAATCTGTGGCATGACTTAAAGATTGCTGTACACCAGCGAAACCCATCCAACTTGAAGGAGCTGGAGCAGTTTTGCCTTGAATGGGCAAAAATCCCAGTGGCTAGATGTGCCAAGCTTATAGAGATGTAACCCAAGAAACTTGCATCTGTAACTGCTGCAAAAGGTGGCTCTACAAAGTATTGACTTTGGGGGGGGGGGGGGAATGGTTATGTTAGTCAATAGTTTTGTCTTTTTTTCTTGTTTGCATCACAATAGAAAATATTTTGCATCTTCAAAGCGATAGGCATGTTGTATAAATCAAATGATACAAACCTCCAAAAAATCCATTTTAATTGCAGGTGGTAATGCAACAAATTAGGAAAAATGCCAAGGGGGTGAATACTTTGGCAAGCCACTGCAACATCAACATTATATTTCACTACATATCTTCATAGATCTATGTGGGAATCACAGGTACTTCACAGATGCCATCCACCAAGCACTTACCAGAAGAACATCAGGGCATGTGTTTCTCTGTTGGAAATAAGAATTCCGTTGATTCTAAAGTTTTCCTGTTCTTTCACTTCTATTTAGATTTTACCAGCTTCGAGCATCCATGAAAATCCCTCCCCGTAATCCACACAAAATTGAAGCAAGCCTTTTACGTGTCACAGGTATGTGATTCATGAGGTCAGGCCTATTAAATGCTGTGTTGATGTTTGGTTGTAGAAATGTAACATTTTTGTAGTAAAAGAAAAATCTGCCTTTCTTCTTATTTACATACTTCTCTAATAGTTATTGCACTGGCAGTGTACTCTTACATACACTAGTGGTCTTTACTGTAACCTACAATAATTTAATTTGCATGTATTTATATTAATGTAAGCCTGCCATACCCTTTAAAGTGAAGCATGCATGGATAAGCAACATGCTCACTTTAAAGCCGACCACTGCAGTTGCACATACTTTCCTTTCTTTTGCTTCCCTGTGGCTCCATTTACCTGGGAAAGCGGTATACCAGGTACATTGAGTATGGGGGGAGCATGCTACTCATTCTCCTTTTGCCCATGGGACAGCGCTGATAATCAGCAGTTGGGCTGCTCAGATCCTCAGCGATGTCATCGGGGAGAGGGAGAGTTGTTAGCCCTTGTAGGTTCCAAGCAGCTGGGGCTGGGATTAAAGTGAACTTGTTTATTTGTTCTGCATAGGCAAAGGCCAGGTATATTGTTGATTCTACATCTTACAACTTAAAGTCTGTCATGAAAGAGGTATAAGAGCTGCCATTGCTGCTCTTTCTGAAAATGGTAGTTGCTTGGCTGTGTCTAGTTGTAGTACATTTTAAGTCACCTACCTGGAATGAGTATGTTGTGTATTGGGGTGGGAGAAGTGTCAGCATTCCTAATCTTATGAATGTCACAGGTAAGTGAATGAATGCATTGAAGTCAAAGCATTAGTGATGCTAGATGATAGGCAGGAAGGTATCATTCTAAAAAGTGTTCAGCAGTGGGATCTATTATTTTTCTATGCTTGCAGATTCAATTTAAATCTGGAATGCGCCTACTAACATCCGTTTTGTCTCCTAAATATATTCCTGATGGCCATGGGAGCCTATTAACCTGGAGCATTTCGGCCCCAAGTTGGAGTCCTGGGACAGCCTTCTACCTCCCTCAGTGCTGTGCACCCCTTCTGCCATATGCACATTGCAGTGGATATACAGAAACTCTAATGCAGAGTTGAAATTTGCTTTTGCATTTTGGGAGACATTAGTTTTAGACCCTTGGGTCCCTTTGGGATAGTATACATGTCCTGTTTTTTGCTTGCCCTAGTTTTTTAAAGGCCCCAAAATGTGGGATTGTTTTTTGTACTCACCGAGGAAAAACATAGTACATTGGGCATATTTAAAAATACTCCGAATGTGGGGGTTCCCCTCACTCTTGGCCATTTGTTTGAATTGATTGGATGTCTAAAACCAATAGTTCATTTTAACACAAAGTAAGGGCTCATTCAAGACCTTTCCAGCGAAGTGCGTTCATTAGCTTGTTTTGGTGCCATTTATTGTCAGTGGCAACCCCACCCACATGTTGGGAGCACACCACAGTGCACAGTAACACTACTGTACATGTGGTGCACTGCTTCAGTAAAAATAATGCATCTCAAGTTTTTAGTCCGTTCCGGTGAGTTGTTAGCTCATTCATTTGAATTGGCTGCTTTATCGCAATGGATTGCAACAGACAGGTCTAAATGGGTTTCAAATCTGTTTGCATGAATCTAAACACTTTCAGTGTAAACGTTTATTGGTATAAAATTAGAAAACAAAAGTGAAAGCCCTTTCAGAATCAGTTGGCTGCTTCAAACAATCAAAACTTTCTAACTCATCCGATCACATTTGTCTTCGATCCAAACCTGTTAAAAACGGCCAAACGTTATTGAAATAGTGGTGAAAAGTCAAAGGTAATGCGAGATTATTTTAGTATGTTTAGCTGTATATTATTCACCATAACCAGCGTTTGTGTAAACTGTACAGTGGAGCTTGGATGTTGTAGAGGTTTCTGCATCCTTGTAAAATCACAAGCTTTGAGATTTAGGGTCCAATCAAACTTTTACGTTAAGTGTTCATTTTGAATGTCATGCCAACAAACCAAGCCAATACAGCACCGACGCACATGTATAGCAGCACACCACAACATACGGTAACACACTGCTATATTTTGTGGTGCGTTGTTAGAAAAATAAATGCTGCATGTACATTTTTCATCCTTTCTGAGGCTCCTTTTTAATACATCACACACAGTATAACCGAGCCCCTAAAGTTATATTTGAAGCAGTGAGAGGAATTTCTCAGCCACAGCGTAACTGTGCTTCTTGTCCAGCTTTTGATCTTGTCAGCATTGTGTAAACTAAATGAAAAAACAATTGTGCTTGATGACCAGTTCAATGGTTTTCATGTGCCTGTAGCATTTAGGGAAATATATTATTGCCAGAGCGTGCCATGGCTTGCCGTTCATCTGTGCTGGAAATCAGCTGCTTTCTGTTTATAAATTGCCTCTTGTAAGTCTGATGGGGGGGAAAAAACCTAACAGCATCTACAATTGCAAAGTTGTGTTCAGATCATCCTAACAAAGAAGTCATGGTGTTATGCAGCAAGGGTATAATGTGTCAGTAGCAGTGTCACCTTGTAAAGTGAAGGCGTGGAAGGTGTAGCCCAGCTCATTTGTCAAAAAGACAGTAAAACAGGGATCTTGTTTAATTAATTGTAGCTGTCAGACCTGTTGCTTCTGTCGCAATGCTATTTTCTCTCTGGCATATAATCTGTTAATACTGCTTTGTTAACAAAAAGTCATTTCATATTTCCATGCCAGAGGCCTTTAGGGTAGACCTCAATCAGAAATAGCACAGCTGTCACTGCTTGGGATGACTGAGAGGGTTGTACACACACAGAGCTCACCACTATCTACGCAGAAAGTAACATTAGCCGATGACAACTGCCTTCTCTCTGTTACCACAAGTAGCAATACTTAAACATTTAATTGGAGAGATTCTCCAAGTTGACCAGTGAATAGTCTAACACACAAAACTCTAATTTTAGATCTGGCGCTTGCTGTAAAATAGTAAGCATGTGCAGCAATGTAGAGCCCAGAAATAGTATGGACACTCGTAACATATGGCAGACATCCGTGGATATGATCATTATTGAGGGTGAATGATGCTGGCCTTTTTCAGGATCTGTCAGAGCCTGGGGCACATATCTTGGGAAAGGATGAATTCTAAACATCCAGCAGACCCTAGGCATCTGCATTCTTTTGACTTCTGACTTGATGACGCATGCAATTCATATTCAAGATGATGTCTGAATGCTGTTCTTTAATGAAAACACAATCCTATCATTTGTCAGTTAATTTCTGCACATAGCAGATGATTTAATCGATCCTAACAGTGTCTACATGGAATACGGAAAAAATACGGATTTTCAGATTCAGAATAGTCACCCATTTATTTTATCCATATTTTATCCAGTCATCTTTTGAGCATCTTATTGATTGAAGGACATGTATTGAGAGTGGAATTTATCAAAACTGGAGCATACCATAGGGATGCACCGATACCGAGTACCTTCCCAAATACCGGAACTTCTGGTTAGAGGGAGATTTCCTCTGACTGGCAGTGCCGTGGGGCAACATGGAGCTGGCCTCCTGGCCAATCAGGAAGCCGGGCGGCATGTAATGACTGAATGCTGATTGGCTGGGACGCCGGCTTCCTGGGCAATTAATAAGCTGGGAGGCGGGTAGTGACACGCAGCTCGGCTTCCTGATTGCCCGGGAAGCTGGCTCCATGCTAGCGGAAGTACCGGTATTGGCGAGTACTGAAATATAAATATCTGTACTCGCACTAGATACCAAAAAAACGGTATCGGTGCATCCCTAGCAGACAGCAATGCATGTTAGATCTCAGTTAGAACTTGGTCTACTCAGTCTCAGTACATTCTGGGAAGGTTGTAAACAATAGAAGACAATTTGCAAAATATGAATTTATCATTTTCTTTTTGCAGGTACAGTGTACATAATTACTTTTCCTCCCTATTTATTGGGCCACAGGCTTGATGGATATTAAAAATATGTTGAAGATAAATGTCTTGCTTTAGTATATTTAGAAATTTGGAAAGTTTTGCAGAACAAAAATTGTATTAATATCAAATATGATTTTTGTTTTGAAATTTAAATTTTTTTTTTTATTTTCATGTCTTTTTTATTTTCTCTTAGGTGATGATCTAGCTTTTCCAGCTTCAGTGCAAGATACTGTAGTCTGCAGTAAAATCTTTCAAATATTGTACAAAAATGAGGAGGTTGCAGTTAATGATGTAATGAATTTTAAAATCAAGATGCTCCTGGATGAAAGGAAGGTAATGATATCGTACATGCACAGTTACATTAGTCATTTCATATAACTACTTTTATTCATCTGATCATTTTTCTGTATTTACAGATTGAGGAAACTTTAAATGAGATGGTGTTTCAACTTTCTATTGACCTGTATTTTACAGAAACTATATAGATGTGTTCGGCCCAAGTATCAATCACATACATTGGTAAATATGTAGATCAAGTCATGCAGTGGGGGGGTAATTGTCTTGTTTCTAGAGCAACGAAGCGCGTCTCACTCAGGAGATCTAAAGGTAGCTGCGATCTCCCATCTGGCCAGACAACACTGAAGGGGGACGAACAGGAGGGGGAACACCTAAAAACACAGGGCACAAGGGACAACACAAAATGGACGGCGGGTGCCTGCTAGGTGGGATTCCATGCCAAGTAGGAGAACAGATACGGAAATGCACTTAATTTGCATATAATATATTATCAGACAGCACTATATGATATTCTAGGTGTCTGTGCATGTGAATTGGCCATATTTATGTTTTCAGCAGCAACACTGGATATTGTTAACTAAACTAAACCCCCAGGGTTAATTTTGCTTTTAACCTTGTCTGCTGGGTTGGGGGTCAAATAGCACACCCATACAAATCCAGTGTTTTCCTGCTGTGAACTGCCAATCCCGTCACATGCCTGGTCCTGCAGCACCATCTTCCTTTCTGATGTTATTGGGAGCCAGTTGTCTCTTCCCGATGACCTGCCACCGGTCTGCCCTCCTTCAGCCACTCTCTGTAAGCTGATGCCTCCTAGGATATCCACAACAGATATCCCAGGAGACTGCCAGAGCAAAGTGCATATTAAACCCCGTCTCTGTCCTTCCCACAGATATTGCCCACTGAGCCCAGAAACACAGTTTGGAGTGTTTGTGTGTTGTACTGTTCTCCAGCCCTTCAGCAAACAAACTGCCTCCTCCTACAGCCAAATATTTAAAATTTTGACTCATCAGTCCAGAGCACCTGCTGCCATTTTTCTGTACCCCGGTTCCTGTTTTTGTGCATAGTTAGAGGAGAACTATGGGGTAAGAGTTTTTCCCCATAGTTCTCCTCAGGCTCATGGGAGAACATAAACTAGCGTCCTCCCATGACCCAAAGCTTAGTATACCGCGAGGTACAGATCGCGGTATACCGAGACTGCAGCAGCCGGGACGGATTCCGACATTACTGTTGAGAACCACCCAGCTGCGTGAGTGACAGCTGGCTCTGCCTATCTAGAGGCAGAGTCAGCTGTACTCGCCCTCTCCCCCGTCCATTCTGCCAGTCAGCGCTGGAGGATCGGCGCGGGGAGGGGAGTATGCCTGCAGGGAGCCGTGAGTGACAGTCACGGCTCTCTGCAGGGAGATGATCGAGAAGTGAGCGACGGTATGTGTTCGCTCGCTTCCCGGTCTATTGAGCCGGCATGTGACTCGAGTGATTTTCACTCACCTCATAGTTTTCCTTTAAGTCGCTTAGCCTTGTTTTCATGTCGGTGGTATGGCCTTTTGGCCGCAGTTCTTTCATGAAGACAATTTCTGGCCAGATTTCCCCTGGCAGTAGATGAGTCTACCTGGGTCCCACTGGTTTCTACCAGTTTGGTGCTGAGGGCACTGCTGGATATCTTCGATTTCGAAGGGAAGTAAGCATGATGTGTCTTTTTGTCTGCTGCATTAAGTTTCCTTGACTGACCACTGCGTTTACGATCCTCAACTTTGCCTGTTTCTTTGTGCTGTTCAAGTTCTCCTGAAGCACATCTTGCAACCCCAGTCTGCTTTAAATCTCTGCCTGGAAGAGACCTTGCTGATGCAGTATAACTACCTTGCGTCTTGTTGCTGCGCTCAGTCTTGCCATGGTGTATGACCTGTGATATGAAACTGTCTTCCGCAGCCTCACCTTTAGTAGCAGAGTTTGGCTGTTCCTTACCCAGTTTTAAGCCTCCTACAGTTATTTCTGTTTCAAGTAATGATTGTTTTTCAACCTACCTATGAAATTGATGATCATTCGCACCAGCTTTGTATAGTTGGTTAATCATACACCTGACTCTAATCCTACAAAATCCCTTAAGCTGGCCATACACTTTACAACCATTGCAAGGCCCGGGCAGCATTTGTCTTACGAGTAGGCCACAAACCCGGTTTTCAAACATGCTCTTAAGACAAATGATGTGCGACCGTACAGTAGAAACGGTCGCACGCCTTCCATACACCTGCTGATTATCGTATGATCGCGGGATTTCCCGCGATTATCATACGATAATCGGCAGGTGTATGGCCACCTTTACATTGTGCAAGTGTAAAAATTGATTGGTTTGAAGCCAAAAGGTGGTCACATAAAATATTGATTTGATTTACTTTTCTTCTGTTGTCTTACTTTGCATTTTTTTAAATTGATTTAAATGTAACACGAGAGAAAAACGGGTTTCTGAGAGGTATTACACTACAGCTTCAAGTTTTTGTAAAAAATTAATTTTATTTAACATATAATATAAATACACGTATAAAAAGCAACAAATAGTTGCAATAGACCTAAAACAAAAGCACTAAATCAGGAGCATAAACCCATAAAACATCTTGTACATATCAATTTTGAAACCAATGACAGTGCATTTGAAAATCAGTATGTCCACTCCCTACGCGTTTCACAGCTTGGCTTCATCAGGAGATTATGGACTGATCTAACAAACAGTATATTCAATCAATGCATGTCAACAATACACTACATAGATCTATTATATAGCATAGAGTGTATAGAGAGATGTGTTTTGGCAGCAAGACCAAACAGAGAGGGTCCCACCACCATTGTCACCATTAACAGCCGGCACTCACCACCCACTGGGAGCACATTGGTATGGGTAGAGCTCCCTGTGCGGAGTGTAGACGGGGGTTGGATGCCTCAGAAAAAACTCCGCCCAGATTTGTCACGGGGACCTCGGGGCCACGATAAGAGGGACTTTAGGTGTGAGCAGAAGGGCAGGACTGCCTATGCTTATCTTAGCTGTAGTATTGTTGTGCTTCAACTTCCATGAACCTGTTTTTTTATATGATTGCATTCATTTAGTGTTGCACATAAGGTAAATAAAACGTCATCCAATCCCTGTGCCCATATATATATATATGTCCATGTGTGACTGTACTTTATATTACAAATATATAAATAAATTGCTCAAACCCCTTTTCTAGTTTTGTGTTTCTACACATCCTTTCAATTGATAATGTGTATATACCCTACCCATGGGACTTTATGCAGTCCATATTATAAAATATCCGAAAAATAAAAAAAGTGATTCTATATGCATATATGTGAGTGTCAAAACAGGACATCTGTCTCTAATTAACATCCAGTGCAATGGTATTCATCTTTGTGAAAATAATAATATGGTGTTAAAAATGTTGTATATGCGTTGATATCCATGTAAACAAAGTGAATTTGTCCCCCTCTGGGGCTTGTGTTTTCCAAACAATTGGTTTGGAAGTTCCACTTATGTGTGTCAAAAATAGTAGTGAGCATCATAGTGAGCTTCAAATCCAACCCCCGCCCCCCTCCAAGACCATAAACAAAAATCGATAAGGCAAACGCACCCCACCGCACCGCAATCTCCACCTCATCAGATAGAATTTCTAATCAAATCTCCTAATCCAAGGGCCTATTGAACTCCATTTTAACCATCCAAGCACAGACTATCTATGTATATACTGTATGCATCCCCCTTCTTAGTAAGCATATCCATTAGGTTACACATACCTGTCAGTTCTAATCATGGAACACTGGTTTGTTTTTTTAAAGGGACACAGAGGTTCCGTCGGTCCGGTCACAATATGTCCTGCACCCGCCTGGATGGATGCCCCCTGCTTGCAGGACACCTCCGTTGCGTCCTATACCTACTACCCATCCCCTCCCCCCTCCTAAATAATCCCCACCGCCGGCAGAACGCCCCACACCTGAGTGTATTTGGACGTCCGTCGGCGGTGTGGATACCACCTGCGCCTGCGCAGCAAAGCAGGCGCACTGCACTTTTATTGAAAAATCAGGGGGCCCTGGGCGCCCCAGAAGGACAATGGGGGTATGAATCCATCGGGGATAGCCACCATGGATGGTGTATATACACACATCGCTCAAACACTCCACTCTTTTGGTATGCTCTGTCTTATCTGGTAACATTTTAGCTAAATTAGAAAAAAAACATTTTTGGCAATTACATTTTAAATTCTTAAATAAGGAT